TTAATTAAATCCTTGGTCATTGGTAGCTTTGCCAGGGCCCCTTGAGCATTGCGTGTGCACCACGCAACAGATAACCAGTTCAGCCCTTCGCTCTGGCACCCATTGTTTTAGCATCGTCCTTAATAAACTGAGATGCAGATTTCCTTTTAGCCTATCCATATTAATTCATGTGAGTCTTTCTACAACTACTTTATTTGCCATTTTGCAACTTAAGAAGAATTTTTACAGGTATTATCAGGCGCTGAAAGTTCTTGAGGAACTAGAGCACACCTACATGGTCCATGTGGATAACTATCGCTTTACGCAGGCACTCAAAAAGTCCCTTTTTCCCATTCGGGAACAGATCAAAGAGAAATCGTTCTCAGAATTCACTGATTTCCTTGAAAATATTCGGAAAGTTTCTGGTTAGTTTATTATTAGGATCAAATTTACTTCAACACTTTGTTACGTTACATCTGAATTAGTGTGCTTTGATTCTGCTATAACTGGAATTCCTGTTATAGGACGCATTGGGCAGCACGCATCCAAGTGCACCGCAGAACAGCATTCGTTCGGCATGACCGAAGCGGAACGTACGAAAAGAATGCAGGAAGAAGCGAGAAAAAATGCTCTGAATGGGGATGTTGGTGAGTTTCCAGCATACGAGCCCAGTGAGGAGGTCTTTTGAAGCTGTGGTTGAAAGAACCCTTGTGCTAGATGGTGTACACAGAAGCTGGACATTGCTGTGTAGTAGTATATTTAGCTTTTTTTACGTGTGAGCTAAATGCCTTGAATTTGTATGCGTTACTTTCAGTCTTTCCATTTCTTTGGAAGCTTCCCAGATGTTTTTTGGATTCTGCTGATTATCAACAAAACGTGCAGCATAACCCGTCCAGTAACGTAGCTGTCATTGTTGATTTTCTCTCACTGTATTGTGATGTAGTACTTTCGCTCACATAAGCGTTTGAGTTGTAGCTCGCGATACTACTGAGATAGAAGTTGAATTTTTATGCATAACTTTTTTACTACAGAACTGTCATCCGATGGTTCAATTATCAAGAAAACTGATGACAAAACTCAACGAAAAATTGTGCAAATGCCTCTTTTGGACGAGGACGAGCTACTCAGTGCCCAGGATCTTATAGATTTCACGCCAATTCATCGATGCTGTCAAATCTTCAACGTCATTGTGAGAACACTTTTTATGCGTTTTTTATACCGGTGCAATGCAAAAACGCACATTGTCGAGGGGTTGTCTGTGTATCTGTGTTTGTGTCTTTGTGTTCGTTTGTACCGATTTTTCATCTCGAGACTTACAAAAGCTAGAAGGCTCAAACCTTGGAAACTTAATCTACATGCATGTACGGGTTCCTGCCTCGAAAAGGACTTTCTTGCCCACGTGGTCCTCATATTCGGGCTCGTGAAAATTTTCGACGAATAAGTTGCTAACTCCTGGAACCAGAGAATCTAGGAAGCTGAAATTTTAGGGGGATGTTCTCGCCTACGTAGGGCATAACGAG